GGACAGCCCCTGGACCCGGGCATGCTGCTCCAGCCTGGCGCTCAGGTTCACCTTTAGTGTCCCAAAGGCCTCAGGGCCCACTCACCATGCTGTCCCCGGGATACCACTATGCCCAGAAACCCTGCGGCCTTGGCGCTGCAACTGTCCCTGGGGACAGACAGACCAGGGACTATCTGTCCCTGCAGGGAGAGCTGGCAGGCCCAGCCACCAGCGAGAGCGCACGCCGTCCCACGGAGCCCTCGGTCCAGTCCTGAGGTCAGAGCGGCCTGTGGAGGGCAGCGCCGCGGAGAGGGAGCCGGAAGGGCTTAGGAGGAGGCAGGGACCTGGAGTCCAGGCGCGAGGAGTCTGCTGTAGTTGGTGCAAACTCTTTACCCCTTAGGGAGGCTTGGGGTTTTGTTTTGGTTTCGTTTGGTTTCATTTGGTCTTTTAATCCTTAACCTAAAGTCAGTGCAAAATTACTTAAGAATTTTAAGCCTGGTAACCATGCGAATAAGAACATTTATTTGGAGTTTACAGGATTCTGTGTACTTTACATGCAATAAAAGTGACGATGGCAGTCAGGCTTGGCGGCATAGGCTTGTAATCCCAGCACTCTGGTTGAGGCGGGCAGGAGGATTGCAAGTTCAAACCGCCTGGGCAATTTAGTGATTTAATGAGACTGTGTCTCAAAAATGGATGGCCCTGTAGCCCAGTGCCAAGGCACTGGGTTCAATCCCCTTGACCTCCTATAAAAAAGAAAAAAGAAAAAGAAAGAAAACACACTGATACAGACCAAGAACTTGACAAACATGAACTCGTTTAGGCTTTGTTGTAACTTTTTAAGTAGGTACAAATATAAAACAATCACTTTACTGAAAAGGAAGTTGAGGCACAAAAAGTTTGAGTAACTTGTCAGAAGTCACAAATCTAATAAGGAGTACACATGCGATTCAAGTCCATGACCTCCTTCAAGCACTACTTTAAATTTTTTTAATCTCTCTTTTTTTTTTTTTGGTACCGGGAATCGAACTCACGACCTTGCACTTGCCAGGCAGGTGCTGTGCCACTGAGCTATTTCCCCGGCCCTACTTTAAAATTTTTAAATCTTACTCATGTGATCCAGAGGAAAGGCACAGTGAGTCAGAAGATAGACAGTTATTGGCACTAGTCTCCTCTGAAGACTTTTTTAAAAATTTGGATATAAGTTCAAATTGACAAAACATACAAAGGTATTACCCCCAAATGTGCATATATTACTTGCCCAGTTGCACCTAAGTATTTACATTGGCCCATTTTCCATTCTTGATAGATATAAGTGTAGCTGTATTAATTTTATTGCACATTCCTGGCCAAATTCTTGCCTACTAGTTTTAGTATCCATTGATCACTAATATCAAGTTAATTATTCCTATGATAGTTACAAATGCTGATTATCTAACTCCATCCTTCCACATGTATTAGTTTGGGTTCAACCCTGACAGTGTCACCTTCTCCCTGTTTTCTTATTTATTCTTTTATTCCCTTGTATCAGTATCTTTTTTATTCTAGTAGCAAAACTGGGCTCTTACCTATTATGTGCACTCTGGATGTCTGTTATTTAATCTTCACGAGAACCCCGCAGAGGAGGCTGCTACTGTTTTCCCGTTTTGCCAAGAGACCTGGACCACAGAGATTTCCACGCCTCATGGCATTCACAGGACTGGAAGATCCTTCTACTTTCCCACAGCGCAGAGCTGCAGATCAGATTCCCTAAAGCTGGAGCCACTTCTTTCTGAAGCCAGGGGATTTGAGTCACCATCCCATTCATCATTACCCCTACGGGGTCTGCCATCTGGCCAGGATGGAGTGAAGAGTCTTGTAAATTTTTGCAGTGTGAATGTTTAACCTTCATGAGAGTTTTGAACATATTGCTAGAGGAAGACCACCTACAGAATTAATCAAACTCAGTTATTCAATATTAGTGTGCTAAGGTAGTCAGCTACTATCACTTATGGTCCATCAGAGACTAGAAGGAATTTGTAAGGAGTGGTTTTTCTTTCACACTCTTGGGCAGGAGTGTGCTTGCTGGGGATTGAACCCAGGGCCCATGCTCTGGTGCTTTCTGAATGTCCCTACTGTGTGCAAGGTCTTTACTATAACATCTCACTGATGATGGTGAAAGATAAAAAAATACAAAAATTTAGCTTTAGGATCTTGACTGGCTTTGTTTTCAGTTCTTGAACTGGGCAACATTTTACTCCGCAATGTGGAATAAGCATTCTGAAGGGCTGAGCATTAGAGGTTCCTTTTATAGAAAGAGAAGGGCTGAAAAAAAGCAGAAACAAATCACAAAGTGCAGACTGGTCATTGCAATGTTCTTTTCTTTGGAAAGTGACAACAGGAAAATAACCAGTTGGTGCAGGGTAGGGGCTCAATAAATGTTCTTTTTCTTCCTCTACTGGGTTTTTAAACAGTTGCTTGTATCAAACGTGAAAGACCAAAATCAATCAAAGTTGTGGAGTAGAAGGTCCATGACACTCTGTAATTTATCTCAGTTGCACTGGAGAATTATGGAGATAGTCAAATGCCTGATGACAGTATGAAGAGTCTAAAGTGGTTGCCTGCAGACAGAGGGTAGAGGGTAGTGGTCAGGGAATCTTTCTATTTTGTTTTAAAATTTTAAAACTCCACTCTGCACTTACTGAATCAGAATTACTTAAGTGAGGACTGCAATATTTTTCTTTCTTGTGGTACAGGAGATTGAATTCAAGGCCTTACAAATACTAAATAAACATCCTACCAGTGAACTACATCCCCCAGCCCCTTTTTAATTTTTTGAGATAGGATCTCACTAAGTCACTAAATTACCTAGGCTCAGCTTTGAGATCCTCCTGCTTCAACCTCCCAGAGTGCTGGGATTACATGATTAAATCGCCATGTCTGGCAGGATTTGCATTTTAAATAATATTTTCAAGGAGTTCTTTAGTTTGAGAAGTAAAAAAGCAAACCAAACCAAATTATAGCACTGAACTCTGCCAAGAAGTTTCATGGTGAGTCCAAAGACAAGTCACTTGTCTGTCTCTCGTTTGGTTCCTAAGTATAGGACAAAAAGCTGATAGTTGCAGATGAAGGTAAAGACAGCCTTGACACATGGGTACAAAACCCAATTTCTCCCACTGGTGTTGAGTAACTATGGCATATAGAAGCAATGTCTAAGGGTGAGTACATAGCCATGTTATGCAAAATTGTAACTGTGTACCACGTAAGTAGTAATTAGCCTTAAGCATACACACTACATAGAGTGGTACCAGTCTGCAGTGCAGAGGAAAGCATCAGATACACAATTCAAGCCTTTACTCTGCAATCTAAAGGCTTCATAATCTTGGGCAAGTTACTTAATCACTTCAATTCCTTTATCTGTGGAGAAAGGATTATGATTTGATTGATTTTGGCAATGAGATACATTGTCAAGTACTTGAGATCCTACTGGCTATTATCTACTGTGCATTACTTGACTAAGAACTCTTCTCCCTATGTTTGTATCTTTAATACTTATATGAGTGAGCCTCAGCTTCCCTATCAGTGTAACAAAGGCACCTTACTGGGGTTGAGAGTTCAAAATGTAACCCTTCTCATAAACTTTGCATACATTTGATGTATTAAATTCCCTAGTTCTGTGGTGGAGCTTGCAGTTAGAACACCCTGCCTACACTGTTTCTTGTTCAACTAATCATTCCAAGAATGAATCGATAGGCCCACGTGCCTTCTCTTTCATCTTAGCTGTGCATGTTAACAGTGAAATAATGTGCTCATTTTCATATCCGTACTGATTACTCCAGGGGCCCTGCTTTGCCAGAGAGGCATGTCACAAAACCTTGCCATGAGACAGTGCATCTAGCAGTTCCAATGGTTGTTTATCATTACCTTTTCATTTAAGCATAAAAGCCATTTGACAAATACAAACTGATTATCACCAGTGGAGCTAAATAAAATTTTTAAAGAAACCTTAATTGTTACAAATTGCATATCTGAGTTCATGCTGTTGCATATCAGGAATGAAAATTACTATTATGATGTAATAAAGGACATTTGTAAATTTTGTTCAGTTATTTCTTTTTTTAATATATAACAGATTTCTTTCATCTATAGGCAAAGAAACTTTGGCCTCCATTATGTAAACAGGTAATATCCTTGTTGCTGTTTCTGATAGCCATTTTATCCATTGCTCCATTTTGTGTTTTTTGCCAGCAGCACACAAAGAACTTCTTTTGTGCTAATGTTATTTTCCCTCATCAGAATGCAATAAAATTATTCATTTTAGGGGACAAGGGTATATCTCAGTGGTAGTATACTTGCCTGGCATGTGTAAGTCCTCGGTTCCATCACCAACATTGCAAGAGGAAGAAAGAGAAGAACAAAATGAGGAGAGGTAGGAGGAGAAAGAGGAATGGGAAGGGGATGATGATTCATTTTAGGAAATCTTTAAGCAGCTTATTTAAGTTATAGTGTACCCAGATAACATTGCTTCCTCTGCATAAACAGTAGTGAGCATGATTAAGAGCAATGCTCACCTGCATTTTGGAGAAAATTCAAGGGCAGCAAGTTTAGAGGAGCAGTATTACCAGCCACACAGGTCAGTAGTTGCAGGTGCATTTGCTCTTGTCTTGGTTACTTTTTTCTCGTTGCTGGGACAAAATACCTGACTCCCAAAATTAAGGAAGGAAAGGTTTATTTCGCTTACAGTTTGTAGAGGTTTCAGTCTGTACTTGGCAGATTATAAGGCATAGTGGCACATGGCACAGGGCTACAGCTCATGGTGCAGAACACAGCTAAGCAACAAGCACACACCAGGGCGGAATGGGGGAGGAATGGCCTCAAGCACCCTTTTCCTCTCCC